TTTAAAGTTTAAAGTTTAAAGTGTATTATTCGGCACAAGGTAAAGGCCAAGTGTTCCTTCAAGTCAGTGTTCCTTCAGGTATTAACCGATGTTCTAGGGAGCTGAAGGATCGCCCTCTGGTCTGTCTCCTCTCCTCTTCTGGCCTAGACCAAATACTTATGGTTATAAAATGAAATATGGCAATATATATGTACATATTTAATATCATTCATACCAGGGAGAGGCTGACATTCCACTGCTGCGTATCTGCTACCGCTACTGCAGTTTGAAACCCCCCATGGACCATGATCACATTGAGTAATGGACAATTCGTTTCCATTGCATCGTACGTTCTTCAACCATATCTTGCTGCAATCTCTATAGCATCTCATACCGTAATGCCATAATGCTGCTGGATAGCCTAACATTCGACAGACGACTTGAGCTTGTCTGGTATCCCAGCCGTCATAACAGATTGATCCCCATTGGCCTTCATGAAATATCTCTACTCTTCCCCGTGATTGTCTAGATGAATCAACTAGGCGAACAATGGTGACTAAAACAAACGCAATTTTAACATTATTTATTAATCTTATTGTTTAGATTTTGTTTGATGTCAATTGGTCAATCAGTCAGTGAGTCATTCAGTTAATTAGCCAATCACCGTTGAGTCAAATCAATAGATCTTATTAGCCTGGCCAAGGCTTATATTTCCATTACGCACCACCTGTCATTCCCAAAAGTACTATTTCTTTGTTTTAACGGTAGCCCATGAAACGACACATGAATATGTACACAACTTAAACAAATAATCTTATTATCAAGAGAATGACACGTGGTCTGAAATGGGAACACATTTCGCTCAAGATATTATGGGGTCTATTTATGTCAATCAGCTGATCAGTCGTATGTTAGTCAGTCGGATATTATTAAATGTAATATTTATTAGTTTTACCTCTTATGTTGGGCATGATCACTTTTTTAGGTGCAGAAAACCCACTTAGGAAAGTGCACCTATATCTAGTGATATCTTGGTCGGTAGCATTGTAAAAGATTATCCCAGCACCTTGTCCTTGTAGTAGGCGTATGTTCGATGACTGAGAGATCTTTTTCTTCACCCAACTGAACGGTATCTTTACTGCTATACCCTGCCACTGGTTACTGTATATTTGACGTTCCTTTTCGATTACAACCAGCGAGAATTCTGTTGCTTGCTGATGTTCTCTGTCTGTAAGTGTATAACTCCAGCGAAGTGTTAAGCTGCTACCTGGATGTAGAATATTGGGAGTATAGCTTGATTCCCACTGAAAGGCCAGACCTAGTATGAAATTAAATATGGCATCGTTACCACCGTCATCCTTGTCGTCATATGAAACTGTTACTAATATGACTAAAAATATTAATTCTTACCTATAGAGTGCATACCATACTCGTTTAAAACGTGGTATGAAATTCCACAAATTTGCACACATAAGAAAATTCAGTGGATTATTCTCAGTAGACTGTAGACTTACAAAACTTTACATTTAAGTCAGACCCCACTTAATTAAACCGTTAACCTTTTTATTTCCCGCGAGACATTATATCGTTTTTTGTTTTTGTTTTTTTATTATTACTTGGTATTAATAATTTTGTATTTGAACGTTCAAAATTTTCAATCTGGCAGCACTGGTTTTATTTTTTACCCTAAACTTGATGACGCTACAATCTAATTTCTATCACCGTCTTGTTTCAGAATTGAAGAATATTAGTTTTATACCAAGCCAAGTATAATAGAATTTGAACTGCAATTAAAAAACGAAATCGCTGTGGTACTATCTTATACTACGGATTTACAACTACTTAGGTTGGCCATGCGGTAATTATGCAAAGCAAGTAACCTATGTCATGTTATATTTCATTATTGAAATCAAATATTGTAAAATTTATAGGTACTGAACATGGTATTTTTATATTGTATTTGTATTGTATATTGTTTTTTTTTTTTAATATCTATAGACGGGATGAGGATATTATTTTTCTTAAATGTTTAGTAAAACGAAGCTAGAGAAGTTGACAAAAGAGATCGAGAAGCGGCTTGACTTGCTTCTTGGTTAGAACTATTTATTCACTCGACTGTAGATGATTATAAGTATATTGGACTAGTAAAGTGACTCTGGACTGACTCTCTTGGGGTTGCTGACTGACTCTGTACTGACTACCTAACTCTCAGCTATGAATTGGCTTGTATATGAGGGCTCATCTAGAGCAATACGTCACATATCAGGTTCGTAAAAGAAGAAACTAGATAGAACCAGTCATGCCATGACGAATGACGCAAGGCTTGGGAATAACACTTGACTTAATGCAAACATTATGAGCACTTACCCGCAAGACCTGTGCTAACGAAACCGTCAATAAAGCTTGCTAGCTCGGCTAGTAAAGAACACTTTACAATAGAAAACTTTTACAGTTTCAACTAAAATAAACTGTCTAAGCGAGAGCTAGCTAATGGTTGGCTTATTTAGATAACAACACTACTATTCCTGATGCGCATTTTCGGGAATTGCATAAGATCACAAAAGGTTTGCACCTTTAAAAAATGCTGCGCATTAGAAGATGTTGATTGCTAACCAACAAACAGGTGACAATCAAATGACAATAAAATTGTTGATATTGGTTGGAACATTTGCACAATTGGTTTTGTCTATTGACAAATAATTAAAGTAGCTAGGCAAACTAAAGTCAAGTTTCAGTAAGCCAAGATAGTTATAATAATATTTTCTTTACAGCCCTTGATGTAAATTGTTTGTTTTTTTTATTTTTTATTTTATTTTTTATTTATATTCATTTCATTTTATTTTATTTTATTTATTTTTTCTTTTCTTTTCAATTAGAAATCTACGAATAACTGAAACAACTGTCTTCCAATAATTAATTTGCATACCTTAGAATAGATTATATTCAGATTATTTGAAAAAATATTTTCTTTTTACTTTAGATTTCATTACATTCAAATCTTTTAATTAACAATTCCAGGTAAATTAGAAAGAGGGGGTATATTCTCGTGCGATTAAGTTTCATTGTCTTCAACCCAATTTTCCCCCGAGAATTCAACTGAATGTTTTATTTTGCAATTTTAGGATTATTTACGTAAGAGTCTTTTGAAATTTTCCATATGACTTTGTAGCTAGTGGACTAGAAGAAAACTCGTTCAGTTGACTCCCCCCGGAAACAAACTTAGCATACCTTGCAAATCTGTACAATGGAAGATTTAAAATACACTTATCAAATTCAAATTTTCTCTAGGGCTGTGTCTGTTCTTTTCCAAATGCCATTCTACTAAATCTATTCCAATTTGGAGGCATAATACTAATCTACTAACAAATCACACTCATGATTGTGAGCTGCACGGCTGCCAATAGCGCCTTAATATGCAGCCCGTAAAGTCCTCTACTGGTTATAATGTGAAGCGCATTAAGATATTTGAAATGCGCTATATAAAAGCTCCCTTTGTTATTATTATTATTATTATTAATCTAACTAAACACGGTATGTTTTTACTTACCAATACCAGCTGAGGCTAGACCAAATATCACCAGTACAAGAAAATCAATAGTTTTATATTTTGCCATTCTGTCAGTCCAGCCAGACCATGTACTACAGCTAATCTTGGTTTACGAAGTAAATATGCAGGTGAGCTTACTAGCGAATACCACGGTGCAGGATTAAGCAAGAGATCTAACACCCTCGGGTATTTTTCCTCTGATCGAACAATGCACTAGTAAATATTTAATTATTGCAACATAAGCAATCTACATACTTTAATAATCCCACTGTTTAACCTTAGTAGGCTGTCATTGTCTTAGCACGTCAAAGACGTTACTAAGTTACCATGAAGTATTACAATGAAGTTTAGGTCACATTTTGGTGACCCGTTTTCAGCGCAACTTGCAAGGAATGACTTCCTCTCTAAGATTCCCCAAGAATTTTGCTTTCCATAATATGTGGTTATAAGGCTAAGTCTGTCATACAAATATAGCATACAATTACTGCCACTGAATGTATGGAGTAATTTAAGAATATGAACCGAGAAACATGATGTGCTTTTGGAATGCATGTATACTAATCGAAACGTTTGATGCAACGTTAATTATGTTGTGAACGGCGTCCTCTTTTTAGTTTATTTGTAATTATGACTTTTTGCTGTCTTTTTTTTTTTTTTTTTTTTTTTTTTNTTTTTGCACTGAAATATGTCTTGTCGATAAAATTTGAAAGCAACTTATACTATGTATTACGGTAAAGAAAACAAAAAACAAAAACGGGGTCAGCCGAGGATTAGTTTCCATAGCAGCCTTTAGTCTCGCTCCATTCCTCTACGGTTCACTTCTCTCCCCACAAATAACGATTGAATAACGTCTGATTTCGATAATCTGGCTTGGGTAGACTAAAATAGCTAATGGTCACGACAGTATCCGGTCAAATTGTAAGGACATGTGAAACCTATAGTATGGGTTTGAAGTGAATTACAACCTTCGATTTTACAGTTTAATTAGTCTGTAGGTTGAAAAAAAAATATATATATATATATATATACTTCCTATCAAAGTATTCAGTAGGGCATTCATTAGAACAAACAATCAACTCTCGTAACTAGCATACCATGAAAGACAATATCGATTGATTGAATAATCATATTTCTCATTCAGTTCCGCATACCTTATCCCGGTACCCCCAACTTAGCATTGCTTCTCCATCAGATTACTAAGATATGACCCTGGGCTAACGCATAAACCTATAACGAAGTCTTTTTTCAAATAACATCGAGCTCACTTCAAATCAGCCCATCAACAGACATATATATTAATGATTATTTATACAGTGTGTTTATCCATAGGTTTCAGTGGTGTGTAGCGATATGTCCATTCCTCCAATGACCTTACCAACACAGCAATACACCTCTTCCAATCAATTGATTAAATACTCATTTTATACTTAGGGTAAGCTGCATTTTCACCTCAAAATATTTACAAATTATAATTCAAGAATGAACATCAGGAAAAAAAAAATTCCAGTTTTTGCTAACTACATTGAAAATCCAATCATTCCCTTCTTATGATCAAAGTCAATACAACAAAAGTAAACTTTTATTTGCTATTTTAGTACTACAAAGTGATGACTGTTAAACAAATTAGAATGATGTGACGTTTGTGGGTGCACCATCAAGACGGCAACTTTTGTTCACTGCTCCATTGATGTTCTGTAAGGGAAATGACGCGTATTAAAGTTCTGATTAACATGCATACATATCAGCTTGGATTTTTTAATATGTTTATTATTATTATTTATTTATTTATTTATTTTTGTCTTTCCTTTAATTTCTTAATTTTCTTTACATTTTCATTATTATTTCATTATTATTTTTTTTCTTTTTTCCTCCTTTCCTTTCTTGTTTCCTTCCTTGCTATATATTTATATTAAGATCCGTCATGCTTCAGTCTCAGATCAAATAACACATCTTGCTAGTCAGTTGCTCAATTAATTCCCTCTCGTCGATCTCGTTTTCTTAGTATTGTCATCATCTCAGCCTATGTACAATAGCTTATTTCTGAATGGTTTACAATTCTGTCATACCTACCATTTCACTGTTGTTAAAGGCTGCCGGTCCATCATATGCCCCCGCCATGCTATTCTCATTATTCCTTCGATAAAATAATATATATGTAATATTAATAACAAGAATGTAATATCTACCAAGTAACATAACAAAATATTAAGCTTTATTGATTATATGCAAATATGATATATTTTAAGGATAGCCGGCTAGCCTACAATCGCTGTCCTAAGTATGTTGCTCTACGATTTTACCTCGGAATGTATGCCAGGTTTGTAGATCTTTCAGTTTCCGTTCTTCTTTGTCCTCCTATAAAGCAGTAAAATTATCTTTGATCAATATAGGGGTTAAAATGCCGTCGTGTTTAGTGACAATGAAATTATGATCAGAAATAACACATTCACAAGTCGTTCAACTTACTTGCTAATTTAGCTTTGAAAAACAAAACACCAAGGATAATGAGAGCCACCACAAGCAGCGTTACACCAACTCCAATACCGGCAGAAGCTTTATTGGAGATTGAAGAATGTTGTTCACTCGTCTTTTTAATTTGCTCTGTGATTAAAAGGAAAGAAAAAATGAGTACTAAACAGAAAAACAACAACAACAACATCATTATCATCATCATCATCATCATTATTCATCATCATCATCGTCGTCGTCGTCGTTGTCATCACCATCATTGTCATCTTCATCATCATTGTTTTTTAGGTCCTTTTTTTTCTTAGCATACTTTTTTATTTAGGATTGTCAATTATATTAATATCTTTTTAATAATCAATTAGTAGAACTCACGAAACTGAGAAGAACTTATCTGGATGCATTTATATATACCTGTATTATTTTGCAGCTGGTGACGTAATTTTGCAATTTGTTACTTACTCAAAACATTAAGCTTGATAACCGATGGAGTGGTATAAAAACTGCTCTTGACTTCACACTGGTAGAGTGCGTCATCTTCAGGCTTAACACTGAGGATTGTCAGAGAATTGTTTTTCATCAGGATACGACTTTTATCATGGTGCATAATCCTCGCATCAGAGTTGCTGACCAAGTTAGTCTTTGACGCTATCCCTTGCCAACTTTGGCTGCCAGCAGGTATCTCTCTGGTCCAGTATATGAGATGGAAGTCCTGCATGGCAGACTCTTCTTCGCTGGTGAGAAGAAATTCACATGGAAGAGAAACATCTGAACCGAGCTGGATATCAATGGATTGACTGGATTGTTGATTCCTAGTCCATCGGAAAGACTCTGGTATAAAACAAGAAAACAGGAGTCAGTATTATGCATATCAAACATATGAAAGTGTCTCTATTAGTTAGTTGGCGGCTTTGTAAGCGTAAAAAGAGTATCATCCACCTTTCAGAGCTTCAAATTGTCGAAGCATGTCAAAACTGGGTCAAAGCATGTCTCACCAGGTCGCCGTGGCGCTACATGACAGCAAACCATAAAAATACTTTATTTGCAAACGGCAAAGTAACCAACCAAGTTCACGAACATATAGATAACAAAAACTAAATAAAATTTATGATTCAGTTTGTCTAGAGCACAAATGCTTCTTGTGGGGGAAATCACTTCTGCAATCGGATTGCGCGACTCAACAGACTAAATTTGCCCGCGTTTGCACAATATAGATATGTGTAGGTTGTCGGTTTTGCAGCCGCTTGGGACTGTTTGGTTTTTGAGTCTCTTTATCTTTATTTGTAGGATTAAGAGTTAGCATTTCCTACATTTTTTCGGTTAAGGATTTTTTCATGGGATTCACGAGCAGTATTATTAACAATTATTTATTCGGTATAGCATGAAGAGAAAGCTTTTCATTTATGGATATGAAACAATCCCTACCACTACTCATGCATTAAGAAGCACTTTGTTTCCTCATAATAATGGTTTGTAACTCATAAATATTTCCCCGCTGGCTTTCGATATTGCCCAAAGCAACTTTGAAGAAGAAGAAAAAAATGTCAAATATTTCACTACTGCCTCCTCCGGATCTGAGACATTGATAGATCAAATGATCACGTCTGACCTAAGCAAACAGTTGTGTGAAAAGTTTCCCTTAATGGTATAATAAAAACAAGAAGATGCAATTCATCGACTAAGAAAGATAATGCGTTTTCGTGATGGCTAGCTAAAATGCTTACCTGAAATTCGGTTGTTCAAGCATAGAAACAAAAGAACGAAAAAACACCGTCCGATATCCATTATTAGGAAAGGTTCTTGGCATCTGGCAAGCAAAAAATTCTTTACATCTGTCTGTTGGTCAGACAGGACTCAAGCTCTTAATCGCAATTACGTCACTAGGGTTTTTTCTGAAAGTTGAGGTCATATTTGACCGGAAGTCGTACACTCTAATAAAGAAAACATCACCACAGCTATTTCTCATTGGTACCCATCTATCTGACCTTTTTTTTTTTTTGTATGACAACTAACAAAAAGGTTGTTAGCTCGACATTTGGAACTCCTTTCCAAAAGGTATTACACAGATAAACTCAGCCAAACTCTCTAAAAATTATCTGAAGATGATACCATACTTATTATATAATATTCCAATACAGCTTTTTCGAATATAGCCGATCCCGCAATCATTGTCCTACTTCCCTAGTTACTGTTGCTACGTCGAACAACATACTCATTAACGTATTGGAAGAACAAATCTTGATATCTCCAAGCGCATGCATCACTCAAATCATATAAGAATATTTTACCATTTAACTATTCACCTCATGTAGAATCAATGCTGAAAATTTTGAGTTAGGTGTCATAAGCACTTTAAATAATAATCCTAAAACTCGTACGAGAGACACTATCACCGTTACCAGTAGTTATAAAGTTATGGGGGGATTGTATCACAAGACAGTAAAGTTCGGTTGATTGTAAGGATGGACGCAGCTGGCGAATAAACATGTACACAAGACGGTTTGGATAAGCGCGTCAAAATAACAAGGTCCTGGAACTGGATTATAGATAGGCAAATTAAATCAATATTAGAAGTATCAACAGCCTGACAATCTGCATTTTGAATTTTGACTGCGTGCTGGATTCCAGATGGAAATGTGAATGTGTCAAATTGATATCAAATTACAGTCGTGCGTCTATTGTATTTTTATTATCGGTTGTTTTTTCTCTATACTATGTCGGCTTCTTATTCTACCTAGTAGCTTTTGATCTAGTTCTGTTATGAGTCAAAGGGAGAAAAATATTTCCGTTTGACTCGAATGACCTATTGGTTATGATTTGGCTAAATGATTGACTTATCAAAGTCTTAGATATATTACTAAAATATTAAATTTATGAAGTGGTAGACGCTGCAGAAGAGGAAGCAGTTGCTCAGCAGATTCATCTATTTTGAAAGCACGACTGAAATCAAAGTGAGAAAAATTACACAATAAGCATTTGTTTTTTATTTAAAAAAAACAAACAATAAATGGGAGCAACTAATAAATCAATCAACCAACCAACAGACCAACCGACCAACGACCGACCGACCAACAACCAACCGACCAATAGACCAACCGACCGACGACGGACCGACCAACCAGCTGACCGAGTTATTACCAATAGACCAACCAATCGATAAAGTAGTTAAAAAGGCCTCATATTTTGCAAGTGGCTTGTTAATATATTTCTGTATCTAGACAGACAAAGCATACGTAAAACTCGCAATCCCAGGAATAAAATAAGATAATTGACGTACCTTTGCCAGATCTACGCTGTTTGTACACCGTTGCCATGACTACAGCTGCTATAAACACAGCCATAAATCCAATCATAATTCCTAAAACATTGAAGAGTGACAGACCAAACCAGGTATTTGCACTGTGATGTTGGCTTTCGTATTTTTCGACTGTTCAAAAAATGTAATAAATAAATAAAAGAAAAAAGGAAAAAAAGAAAACAAAAAAGAAAACAAAGATTCGACTATTTTTTTCTTTAATTTTATTTTAGTTTAAACAAGATAACGACATAAAGAAGCTTTCAAAACGTGCATGTATAGGTAGAGTCTATGGAAAGAGTAAGATCGAGAGAGGTTGAATTTTGTGATCATGAAGGGCAAGACTGCGAAGGCTTTTGTACCATTTCCAAAATCCGATCTAAAATCGTGTGCACTGCAAAGTTGTTATTAATATCCTTTTACACGTCAAACAGGCTGGACGCACCCGATAACATACCTCGTCGAAGCGTAACGTTTCCAAAGGCGTTTCCCATAGTATTCCATGCATAGCATCGAATCACATCCACACCATCCAGTGTTTTCGCTATTTTGAATACTACAGTGCTAACTCTCTTCGTCATTGAGATTGCCCTACATAGGACTGTTGAATTTCGTGACCGTGGTGACCATACAATGACTGGTAACGGATACCCTGTCGCAGTGCATGATAACTGTATTTCGTTCCGGGAATCTTTTCTGTGTAAACTCGTCCTGGCAACTGCAACATTGGGTTTGTCTTTTCACAAAAGAAATAAATAAACTAGATTAGAGAAGTGGATCCATTCAAAGAAAAAGCCATTTGAAATGATATTGCTGATCTCCTATAGACTTGTCTTATTAATAATTAAGTTTTAGATTTTCTTCTATTATAAAGATAAGGGACCAGAAAATATTTTTGATGCAAAACATTTTCCAGACTCCAACCTAATAGCATTCAAGTTTTTTCCGGTACTCCCTTCAAAACCTCCCAATCCCCTCCATCCTCCTTTTTACCTTTCAAGGTCCCACATGTTCCATTGAAATAAAAAAAAAATTGAGGGCCCCTCATTTTCTCCTCCGATTTTTTCCCTTTTATATTTTCACCATTTCCCTTTTTTTTCTAAATTGGGCTCGCTGTGATTTTTGCTTACATTTCACCATAACTCTTGCCACTGCCATGACATTTTCACCAACACCATTACCAGCTGAGCACTCATATACTCCTCCATTGATTCTGGTGGTATTCTTTAACTCCAAGACTTGCTCATTAGAGATCACTATGCTGCTGTTTCTCATCGTCCAGGTGATGTTTGGAAATGGGTCACCATTTGCAACGCATGTCAGTATCAAAGTGTCGCCTTCATTTAACGTCTGGTTTTTTGGGTAAAGTACGATGGATGCAGGGACTAAGGACAAAATATGTTGAGATTTGGTTTGCATTTATATTAATTATAGAAGGAGTTTTGTACTTATAATAAAATATTACAGAAGGTCTAGAAGCAAATGCATACACGAGAAAAAAATGATGTTACAAAGTGATGTATAGGAGAAGCAAAAAGGAGGTTTTTATTTTCTTCGAGATCCCTTTCTTTCCTTCTTTATTCTTTCTTTCTTTCTTTTTTTTTTTTTTTTTTTTTTTT